TGAGGTTCGGCATCTCTCTTGTAACCTTTGTGATAATCATGATGCTTTTGCTTGTGAGGTTCGGCATCTCTCTTGTAACCTTTGTGATAATCATGATGCTTTTGCTTGTGAGGTTCGGCATCTCTCTTGTATTCTTTGACGGTCTCGGGCTTTTCATATTCCGATGTTGGTGGTTTGGGCGCCTCGTATTCCGATGGTGGTTTGGCCTCGTATTCCGTTGGTGGTTTGGCCTCGTATTCCGTTGGTGGTTTGGCCTCGTATTCCGTTGGTGGTTTGGCCTCGTATTCCGTTGGTGGTTTGGCCTCGTATTCAGTTGGTGGTTTGGCCTCGTATTCCGGTGGTGCGGGTTTTTCGTATTCGGATGATTTTGGTTCAGATTCGGCTAAGGCATCTCGTCGAATTACTCCTATATATTTCATACAATTAATTCAAAAAGAAGGATTAATTAAAATGAATTTAAGATCAAATAAAATTCAAATTTTGCTTACCAGCACTAACCAACGAAATCAAAAGTGGAAAGGTTAATAAAGCTGATGTGAACTTCATGTTGATAATATATATATATATATTTTTTCTAAAAAACCTTCGAGTGAAGTGAAGAACTAACAAAGGGAAATTCCAAGTCCTTTTATAATGATTTTGTAAAGAACTATAGTTATTAATTTAAGATTCTTGAAAGAAAATTTATAATATAATGAGAGGCTTAATTATTACGGAATGTTGTTTTGTAACTTATAATCTAACGAATTGACATTATAATTACCCTTTTGAGTTAAATACATTGGGAACCTTTCTTTCTCAGCCCTTTGAATTTTAATTAAATCACAGAAATCTTTTGATTTCTCTCTATTATTAGGAATTAATAATTTAAATTCAAAATTTAAACAGGTAAGTTATATGACGTAAATCAAAAAAAATAAGGGCTTCCAAAAATTACGTCCTATCGGGTGAAATGATCGTCCAAGCCATGATCATTTTTCAAGCCATTCATATTTAACTTACCCGACCAACCATTTTTTTTGATATCAAAAGTTAAGATTTGATTTGATTTTTTTTTTTTTTTTAGATAAGATATAACATACCCGGAGAAATTTCCCGTTTTTATTAAGTATTTCAGTATTTCTTTATTGAATCAGATCGCATACGCAAAATTCCTTATGTTTAATAGCCACAATCTTAAGCCTTATAAAGAAATATTAATTATTTATATATATATATATATATACATTTTATCACATACCTAGTAATTGAAAAGTGAAAGTTTTGTAAAAGAATTAATAAAAGTCGACATTTCGATTCTTTTCTAATAAGACAAATATTTTAAGAATATTATGCAATCACATGATAAACAACTCAAAAGTTTAACTAAGCAAATTATTTTTTTCCGATTGACAATTAATATATTATTCAAAGCCATCAACTTAAATAATCCCGAATTATCTTTTGCACATAAGCCTAACTAAGTCATTAATCAGGGCTTAATTAAATAAACTTTGCCACATAATTTAAGGCTTAGGACAGATTATTGAATTTTAATTATTTTTAATTCTTAAGAGTTTAATTCAAATAAAATTAAAATAAAATAAAAAATTTCGAATTGTGTTTCATATGTAACTGATAATATTGTAGTTGTGAAAAGGTCTTATTGTTTACGTTGTCAAAGAAGCTGGTTGGTTGGTATCTTAGAATATGATCTGACACAACCACTTTATTTTTGCTGTGCATGCATTAATTAAAGAAATACATGAGGTGAATTTTCGAAGCGGGAATATCACATGATCTTAAAAGATTGAAATAACAAATGATGTTGGACGATTAAGTCCAATTAATTGAAACTTGCGATTCCGATTTTAAGTGCTGCGCCACATGTGATGAAATTGTTACGTAATGCAAATGTATAAATACCATTGTAGTTTGCTAATCAACATCACAATAATTTATGGCATATCAAATTATAAGCGCGGTCATAATGCTTGATCAACAATTTGTTCATGTGCCGGCAGGGCATGAACCGTTCCTAAATGTGTCCTCTTGTTTAATGCTGAATTATCGCTTAATGCTTCTATGCTAGCAGCCAAGTTTCAACAGTTAGTGATAGAAATTTTAATCGTTTGCTATTAAAATCAAGTTAAGAGATCAAATCATATGATCCGAATATACATGATTTAATAAATAGCAAACCTTCCATATTTTCAAATTTCAGCGAATATGATATAATTAGTCAATTTTTGTGTAAAGTTCAATATTCACTTAAGTAAATTTTCAATTTCAGATATATTTGATAAAAAAAAATTCAACTATAGACGTTTATAAACGTTTGTAAAGTTTTGAGGATCCCAAAAAAGTAATAAAACTTTTAGTTTTACTCATGAAATAAATAGTTCATATATCTGATTATAAACTGTCACGTGAACATGTAATGTCTCTTCGATTTTTTAAACAGATCCGGGTACCAATGTAGTGTAGTGCCAATGTATCAATAAAAAAAATTTTTAAAGTGATCGTCATGGGGATAATTCAATGGGTTGGAGTTTTAAAGATCATTTTTAATTGATTTTCTGAAATTTAAATTTTATTATGGTTGATCGACAACCATAAGGTTTTGAAACATGACGATCTATAAAGAATGATATGTAACAAACATATGATGGAAAATGAAAAATCGGAGATTTATATAAATTCATCAATATCTTGAACTCAATAAATTTTTTTGTTAAAATGGAACGCCTGAATATAATAAGCGAAGGAACTTTAGATCCAACACCAAAATTAAAATCTAGTCCAATACCAATCAATTTCGTTCCCTTTAATCAAGAGGCATATAATTGTTTTTGTTGTGGGGTTGTATATTCAGAGACATCTTTATTTCAACAAAAATATTGTAAACATTGTTTATTTTTGTATGTTAAAAACATAATTGATAATGATAATACGTGTATTTCGGAATGTTATTGGGACCAGGTTGAATACTTGGATGTTCGATGTAATAAACATAAACCAAGTAGGAATTCGGATCCTTGCATAAGAAACGTTCAAGAATGGCGTGACGTTTGCTTGGAAATTTCATACTTTCGACAGATGATCACCAATTATTGTTCTGGTACGCATTATTTGGAATATATATACGGAAATAAAATATTTTGTAAGTTATGTGAAAGTGTGCTTCATGGGAATCTCCTTGTTGCTGAATTCGGGTTATGTTCAAATTGTTATAAAATTACTTTGGGATGGATACATAAAAAACCTATCCCAATACTCTACTTGCCATGGTGGGATACTACTTACAAATGTCTCGGTTGTAATTTAAACTTGATTTTCGTAACTGACTGTCAGAAATGGTGTCCGGATTGTTATATAACGCATAATGGATGCAGATATTGTTTAACGACAAATATTATATTTGGACTTTCGGAACGATCACAATGCATGAAATGCAAGAGGATTTTATCTATAAACAATGATTTTGAAAATATTAGAAGTGGATATGATGATATCGACGAGTTTTTTCAAAATATAAAAGTAGATGCTAACATTTACAGTCATATCATTGATTACATTAAAAATTTAAAGGTAGATTTCAATCCGTTAGATGTTTATGATTTTATTAAAAAGAAATATACTAAACCAAGTTTGAAATTGGGATGGATTCCATATACTCGTCTCGGTAATTTTACGAGAATTACGCAAGGTAAATTTAGCATTTTTTATCAGGCAACTTGTAAGCGTGGTCATGTATGGGATAACGTGGCGGTCAAATGCTTTTCCAATACACGGGATTTTAGAAAGTATTTCTTAAATGAGGTATTGTGATTATTATTCAAACAATGATTCAATCCTTTAATTGATTTATTTATTTATTTATTTATTTTTTTTTAAAAAAAAAAATAATTCTAGTTAAATTCGAATTATCATTGTAATAAATTTGGTCATGAATTGGAACGTATAATTCATTGTCATGGGGTTACGAAAAATCCTAATACAAATGAGTATATGCTGGTGATGAAATACGCATGGGATGGAAATTTACATAATTATTTACGAAATAATTTTGCGAGTATTGGATGGTGGACTAAATTAAGGATTCTTAAGTCAATTTCATCCGGGTATTACATGTTTAAATTTATAAATGACGTATCTATAATTACATAATACTAACCTTATTGTTTATTCTTTTTTATTCTTTAAGACTTCAAATTGTTCATAACGCAGATTTTATACATCGTAACCTTCATAGTGGAAATATATTAATGGAACCTGATTTAAAGAATTTAATCCAAGGTCGAATTGGAGATTTTGGACTATCACAATCTGTAGATAATGTTCAATCAGATAATGAAATATACGGAATGATTCCTTATATGGCTCCAGAAATCTTTGATGATGCTTCATTTTCTAAAGCATCTGATATTTATAGTTTTGCTATGGTTATGTGGGAATGTACGACGGGTTGTATACCTTTTGCTAATGTTATAGAGGATTATACCGATATCGAACTTATGAATGACATTATTAATGGAAAACGACCCGAAATCACAGAGGATACACCCGAATGTATCGCTAATTTAATGAGAGTATGTTGGGATTCTGATCCTTATAAAAGACTTTCTATAGCAGAAATATATGATAAGCTAGATTATTGGTATAATAACTACAATAACTTTGGACAAGCCGAGGAAAAACGATTAGAATTACTAAAACTAAAGAAACTTGGTCCATTATTTACTAAAAAATATCCAAATCCAATTTATTCAAGTAAAGTATTAAGTCCGTTAACTTCCAGATCATCATCTAACAATGCAAACCAAGGTATGTATGATTTTAATCATAATAAATAGAGCTTTTAATATATATATTAATTATTAATTTATATTTGCTATTAGGATATATATCAAAAGAGTATGATATAGATTTTCGAAGGTATAAAAATAAATAGATAAATAAATAAATATATGAATAGTATTTATATTAATTAGATTTTCAATAATATTGTAGTTTATCTACAATATATGCAAAGTCAACCAAGGATTTTTCAAATTCAGATGCTATTTATACTAGTACACCTTTTAATGTACTAGGTTCAGCTGTTATTTCTTCTATTTCTTCAATAAAACGTAATATTGATGAATTAGGAATTAAACCTCAAGGCAGTAGTAAGTAAATGTTCTTTTTCATTATTTTATGAATCAGACTAAATAATTATTTTTATATAAAAAATTTTTTTTTTGACATCAAATAGGGAAACACATTAAATCCGATAACTATTTGAATTCGGAAACCTCAGAGTCCAAAGATGTTTAATTGAATTATTAACGTACTTTTTATATATCGTTTTTCAAGTCGTGAATCAACATTCTTTAATAATTCAGCTTTCGACATTCACCAATGTAAACATAATATCTCTTCGCTTAAACATGACACATATTTTCATATCTGTTACTTTAATCGAACAATCTATCAAATATTTCCTATATTGCATAATCAATCTTGAATTAAATAAATATTTATAATTTAAATGCTAAGTTGCGCCACTAGGAGAGTTAAAGTCACGGTAAAAAAAAAAATAAAAAAAAAGAGATGTATTGTGCGTTTAAATGTATTTCGTACAAACTATGCATTGGACAATATTTGCACGGAACAAAAGCTTTCTCAAGAAATTGGCCTCGTCGAAGTTAAATTACAAAAAAAATATTTGAGATAATGAAACATTTGTAATATTATTATATTATTTCACTCTATATTTGAAATTATGATCAAATAAATCAAATTAATAGCATATTTTTTAATGAAAATTAAAAATATTATTAGCTTGTTATTAAAATAAAATTTTTTGACTTCTAAAACTTCAAATTGATATTGTGGAATTTATCACTTTAGGGATGAACTACCATGTTTAACTAGTAAATCAATAAGTTTTTTTTATAAATTCGCGACATTTAAAAATGAATTTCAAGAAATCTTATTTGCTAGGTAAAAACTCGTTATTATTTCAGCACAAAAAAAAATTATTCAGCATCTTAACTAATTTTTTTCTAGGACTATAATGCAATTTTCAACAATAGCACGTGTTACGAACTTTATCATGGATAGAAATCTGCAAGTCAAAATTAATTTTAAACATCAGGAAAGGCTTAAAAATATCCATTTTTTTTTAATATTTAATTTATCCATTTTAGAAATACCCAGAAGGGATACACAACTTTATTTATAGATATTTATTGTTTAAAATTAGCCTACAAGTGCAGAAATTTTTTAAAATGTGCAAATTTATTTAATAAAAGACTTGGATTATTAAAAATTATAATATAAACAACTCCTTATTAATGGAGTAGTGTTTACGAATAATCATAAACTGGTCCCAATTATTTTATGGATGGCATATTGACCATTGGTCTATCGATCTTCAAAAATCTAACAAAATTTAAAAAATTAAACTAGACAAAATTGGGACACAATGCACCGGAACTTATAGAACAATTGAATTATAACATATTGCATATTTTTCATCCATAAGTGACATATGAAAAGATCAACAATTATTTTTTTGGTAATTTCATTTTGAAATCACAACAAAGCGCGGGGCGGAAATCTTTATCCGATTGTTCTCTAAATATTTATCATAGTAAAATTAAAAAGGGTGGACTGGTAAAAATATTATTAATATATAAGGTCTGCTCATTAGTGTATTATTATACCTTTTAATCTCGCCGGAAAAAAAAATGTCAAACCCATGGGATCTCTTGTATGAAGACATCGTTTGGCTCTTTCCCATCCATATGAACTTTTAGTTGAATTCGCACTCCGCAATACTATTCTAGCGATACGTTTAAATCACGTTAAAGATGAGAAGGAACCAAAGAGCGAATTTAATCTTCTATATTTGAGCAGCTGGCGTGGTTTATTATTGCAGATAATGTGGATTTTATTCACGCTTCCATGGATTTTTTTTTATCCCCTTATGGCGATAAAAGCATTGGAAGGACCGTATGTTCGCATGCCTGCACCACCAACCACAGATGAAGAAAGAAAGATGGACGAGAAAGAGCAATGGTTTTTCATCAATGGTGTAAATAACGATTGGTTAGATGAAAAATGTAAATACCTGGAAGCACGTTTTAATAAAAAAGTTATAGGAATTCTAAATGCTAGTTATGGATTGCCCTCTGACGTTGTGGAAACCCTCCATCAGAGAAATTTTGACGTCGATACCATGTCGGTACGACAGGCAACGAATTACATTCTCCCAGCGCTTAGGAA